ATACTACTCGAAGCTAATAGCTACCTAAAGTTCCTAGTCTCTGGGACCAGGACCGTCCCCCTGTAGCATTGATTCGGTTGAAAAACCTCAGCCCCTAAGACAAGAGACCAATTTATACACACACTTCACAGAGCACCACTGAGTTGCCAGTTAGACAATCGCTCAAAGCCGTCACGTAGCCGTAATATTTCATTTACGTCGCACGATAAGCAGTGCACATGCGGTACCAAAGTGACAGATTAATCGGACGCTGCGACCATATGAATCACTTCGGCAATCGGTGGTCGACGCACAGTGAAGCGTGCAGCTGAGACTGGCCGCCTATTTCGTATCTCCGTGTCAAATCGTCGATCGTGTTAGATTCGGCCAGTGTCTCGGGCGTGCTTCTTTGTCCAGTGTTGATGCGTGCGCGTGCGTTCTTCCTTTTTATTTTCTTCGTTACGCTAGCTTCGCGTCGGGTAGGAGTCCACACGCTCCAAATTAAGCTCTCTACAATAATCGCGGCTTTGTAGAAGACCGTGTGCGAGTAATAAAGCCGCGTGCCTCGAAAAGAAACCAGCAATCATTCCCGAACTAGACTCGTAAAAAAAAAGAGGTTGCTTGCACGCGCGTTCTTGTTTCTGAGGGTGTGATTATATAGCTAAGCAGACGTAGGTATACCTACGTCTGCTTAGCAAACTCAGACCATTCGCCAAAAACGGTCGTACGTGCATGGCTCTCGGCTTCGCAGCTCGATGTTTATTGTAATACTTTGGGACGGCTGGCTAACCAAGTCAGAAGTATACCGATAGTGCGTATCCTCGAATCCTTAAACCGTTATTATTAGCACCTGTCTTGACGATAAAAAAAAAAATCAAAGCCTAATGATTAGTGTTTCGAGCGTATCGCGGTGCAGTATAACTATGGTGCCAGGAGCGCGTTTTCGAGTTGTGTGTTTAGCGTCCTATGCTGCCTGTACATCAAAAGTGCTCCCGAAGTGACAACAAATGACGTCACAGAAGCCTAAGTGTCATGCTGTTACATGTCGCGATCCTGGCGGTTGGTCGTAGAAATGCTAACGAGGAGCTGCGAGTAGCACAGCCGAACGCGAGTGTCGCTGTCGTCACGAAGTCCCGACTCCATGCCTGCCGAAGCTTTCGTGGACTGCCACACTGGAGAGCGACGTGCAGCAGAACAGGCGTCTGTCGCGTACATCGCAGCTGTTGGGACGCCGCCAGGATCGCTACCGGCGACAGCATGACAATTCTGTGACGTCATCGGGCGGAAATCGAGGGACCACTTTTTTGGACGAGGGTAAACACACCAGTCGGAGACGCGTTCCAGGCAGCATAGTATAACCTCAGCAAATTCTGAGAGATATACGAGATTCGATTCGAACAAGTAGGACCCCCGTTATAAGTTGCAACATGATAACACTCCTCCGTGCACGTCAATTTCTAACTGTCAATCACAAACGTCGTTCTCAAACCACCCTAGAGCTACCAACAAAAACAAGTCTGCGCACGCACGGACGCACTCGCGCGCGCGGACACACACACACACACACACACACACACACACACAAATCAGCACGAGGGGCAAGCTATTTCATTCTCGTGGACAAGCTCGTACATACGCATACAAATAAAGGAACATATGCACTAACAACGCGTACTACAAACAGGTAACGTGCACACTCAGCGCGTGCAAAGGCGCGTGCTTGAGCAACTCGCGCACGCGCAGGCGGAGCCGGTTTCCACGCAACGCGATGCAGCCCTTTTTCGGCCATATAGCATCGTGCTGCGGCACAGTTCAAACCATCAGCAATGGCGGCGTGCAAACGTCTGGGTCGAGGCGTTTGCTTCCTTTCGAGTTGTTTTCTTTCCTCCGCCAATCAAAGAGCCGAGCGCAAGCGCCCTATACTTCGCCGCATCAACAACAAACCACTCGCCGTGTCTCGCTCGACTCTTTTTTTCTTTTTTTGCTCTAGATATCAACTATAACAACAGTAAGCGACAAAATAAAATTCCCGGCGAAGAGATAAGTGCTCACGAGATTACTTTGACGGCCAGGCCTGGCTTGACGCTCGTTATATACGGTTCGAATATATATATTTTTTATATATATACACACATATAAGTCGTTACCGCTGTTGTTGGTGCTTTTTATATATATAATCTTCGTAATCTTTGGTTATCTGACGAAACGAATCTGTGATGCGTGCCGACGATCGAGACGCCGCGCTAACCTCCTAACGACCGTGTACTCAGACAAACCAGCCCCCTTCTTTCGGGGGCTGGGATTGAAAAAGAGTCGGAGGCGACCGGCCAAAGATGCGTTTAACCCACTTCGTATCAAGGGGAAGGAGGTGTGGGAGCGAAGCAAAAGGAAGAAGAAAAAAAATGGGACAAAAGTGGCCGACGCAAAACGCTCAAATTAGTCTCAATCAACTCCAGAAGCACGGGGCGGGGCTAATCTTGACCCACACATCTCGTTTCGCGATTACCATTTTTCTTCCTTTCATTTTTATCTTGGGAACTTCGGCGATTGATGTTTGAATGTTGCTGTTTTCCTTTATGTGGCGCATCTTCAAGAGAACTCACCCGGGTACGTCGGTATGCGTGCGCGAGTGATAAGAAACACAAAACGGGAGTTTTGTGTTTGTTAACGTCAGTCTCGGTTATTGATGTCTCTCGACGACCGTCACATCACACTCGGCTAATGACAGCTACAGGGTAGCTGTTTGGTCAAAATCAAACTGTAAGTTTGATGTGACGTGTATGAGTCAATAGAACAGGTCCTTCGTGATTGCCCAATTATGACGAATCGGGTCCTTTGCGAGTGCACTATGATATGGCACTACAAGATACATTGAACGGAAGAGATGGACGCACGGTCCTTGACTCTTTCCAAAGTGTTTGGCGCCTGGAACACATTAGGCTAATCCGCAAAAAGCATACAGGGCTCTGATTTTGCCTTTTGGTAGCGCCCTCTCGATCAACACGGCTTTAGAGGTTCTTGCGTGCGTGTGTGCGCACGTGTGTGCCTGAATGTGCATGTGCGTTTGCATAGGTGCGTATGTGCATGTGTGTGAATTTCTACTCACACACACATACACACACCTTTGTCTCCATTCACTCTCCGAAAGCGTTCGAATGCGTTCGAAGAGGGGCTAGAGAAAAATACAGGCAGCCTCGTGTCTGCCCCCTCATCAATCCTACCAGAGCTCGGTGCTCTGGCGTTCCCGCGCACTCTCGTCTATTAACCTCCCTCAATTTCTAACCGTATATCTTGCTTTTCCCTCTTCCCCTAACCCCAAAGCAGAGCGAGTAGGCGGCTAGTTGGTCTGAAACACATTGTGACTATTTGACGAACATGTAACACCTCTGTCGACACATGAAACGCGCAAGCCCTCCTCCCCCCCTTCTTTTGTTCTCCCCCGGCATCATGGAGAAGATACTTCGTCGTCATCATGCGTAAATGACGTATCGCGAACATAACGTCATTCCATCCCGTTGTTGTCTATGACACTAAAGACCTATTCACACGGGAAAGTTTGCCTACGTTGTCCCACGCTACGTGATGAGTCACCGCAGCGGGGCATCCCTGCTTCCAACGGCGCGTGCCAATTGCTACTCCTTGAACTGGTCGCCGCGCTTCGTACGGAGCACGGATGTCTTGCTGACTCACGGCGTAAGCTGATGTAAGCTCCCGTAACATAGCGTAACGTAAGCACTGAACGGTGCTGTCGGGAACGGGCCTTAAAGCCGCGGTCATACAAAAGGCAGTCTCTGGACATGTTCGAAGCACACATATGTACGAGGCAAACAAGCTTTAAACAGGCAAAACGTATCCGCAGATACATGTAAAGCGAACACCGTCATCATTTGTATGTTGTAGTGACTGCAGCTTTGGTCTCACGACAATCGCTCAAACTTTCAAGTCATGACGAAAAAAAAACAAAAAACAATGTAACGCGTCTATAATGTGTTTTGATTATCAATATAATTTCAATGACAGACCGAAAATCGCAACGATTATTTATTTAGCCCACGAAACTAACGGTTCTTCACAAACTTCGAATTTCGACCGCCTCTCCGCTGACTGCGCTCGCGTGACCTGCCGAGAATGCGTCACTAACAGTGACAAATCCGAGTTTTATCTCTGAGAGGTATAAACTGCTCACCATAAACCAGAACAAGGAAAAGCTGTTAACTGTCACACAGTATTAAACAAAAAAAAAAAAAAGAAAGATGGCCCGTACAAAATGTTAAAAACCGAACCGAACGACTGCGAAAAGCGGGCCCGAAAGAGGAGGCGGCGGTTGCGCTGGAAAAAGATAACAAACGTACAAAATAATGCTTCAATGGTGGGAGGGTAATAAATAGGTGAGAGAGAGAAAGAAGAGAGAGAAGAAGCTACCGCCACGTCCTCCTCCTCTCCACCTGGCCCTATTCAAGCCGACCCGTCGCTTGAGCTCTGTCGATGAAGCAAGAGCAGGAGCAACACCAACGGCCACGAAGCGTATTTTGTCTATTTCTGCGTCTTGAAGCTATTCCTTTATATATATATATATATATTTCGTGTTTGCGTTTTTCTCTTTTTCTTCTTTCTCATCCTCTGCCTTATCCCGTTTTATTGCTGCGTGCCTATAAGACGGTTTGGTGGTCCTTTTTGTCTTCTTCTGCTTCAATTTAATGTTCCCCTTTCCCCTCCGCCATTTTTTTTTTCTTTTTGCAGACCTTCTTAGCCGTCTGCCGGCCGACAAAAAGAAAAATGGCGGACGAAAAATAAAACACGCAGTGACGTCGTCTGCATTCCCAGACCGGAAAACTGGGATCGGCGACGCTGAGAGAAGAGGGTGAGGGCGACAATCTGAGACGAAGGGGCTGCAAAGGAGAGAGGGAAAGAGACGTCACGTGACGTGATCACGTGTCCCTACAGTCACGTAGCGGAAGACCACGTGACGCGACACTCCCCCCTCCTCCTCTCCCTCTTTTTGCGTCGTGCGTGAGTTATAAAAGAGGCGCGTTGTCGGAACGGGATCGGATTACGACTCCAGCGGATCGTTCATCGCACTTCGAGAGGAAACCTTCTCCGTCGTCGACGACCAGTCCAGGACTTTTCTTCGTGAACCTCTCCTCGCAGAGTTTCAACCCCCCAAAAAAACCAACATGTCCAGCCCAGCAGACGCATGCTGCGGTGAGTGAATCTACATGTTTTGTTCGACGAACTCTAGCTTGAGAAACGCGTGTCAAAGGAGAAAAAGCAACTAGAAATTCGTTGCCAGTAGGCGCGTTAAACCAAATTTATATCCGTCATTAAAAAAAATGCTTAGCGGTTTTTTTTTGTACACAAAGTCGTAAAATCTGGTAATGGCCACTGATCATATTATTTGTTTTATTGTTGCCTATAAAGGTAATAGTCAAAAATAGTCTGATACAAAAAAAAAGGCAACATGTCCAGCCCAGCAGACGGATGCTGAATTCGGCTAATCTCGATATTTAGTCGACAAAGTGTAACTTGTAAAGTCAAAATTAGAAAAACAACCAGAAATTCTTTTCCAGTAGTCTCGCCCGTAAAACCATCTTTATCACTTAAGCACAAATATAACTTTGCGGGATTTTTCTTTGTTACAAAGGCTTATAATTTAGTAATCGACACCAATCATGATATTATGAGTTATTTTTATGGTACCTATGAAGGCGCTAAAATAATCAAAGTAAACATGTTCAAGAGCTTTAAAAACACACACAAAAAAAATAACGAACTATCTTGGTCCCTGGATGTTTTTCATTTTCGTTATGCAGCATATAAGAGCTTTACCTGTTCAGTACTAAGAACTTAATCAGGTAACCGATTAGGTATTTTTTTCAATATTCTACGCTTTTAGGGCGAGATGCCTGACTCCTGACCAAACAAACAAACAAAAAAAAAAAACATGTAATAAAAGTCGGAATTTAGAAGCAACGCCTGTTTAATGTGTAGCAGCGTTTGCCGGTAATTCTCACACCCCAGATAACGCCTACAAATATTTTGCACAGGAGTTCCATTTTGCCGTAGGAAAGTTTTTTTTTTTTTATTGTTTTTTTTTTACTTGAGTGCAAGCCTTTCTCCGCCTCTCACAATAGCGTTTGAAATGTATTCTCATGACTTAAGTATAGAGTACTACAGATGCTACTGTCGCTTCGACTTACGGTTGTACGCGAGTTATAGAATAACGAGTAATGGTGGCTAGGAGTAAAATTCTAATCACCCGTTTTCTTCGAGTTTTTTTGTGCAAAAAACAACAACGGTAAAAAAAAAACAGTACGGTCTCAAATTTATTATTGACTAATTTTATTGACCTACGTGCGGCCGGCTCAACCTTTTAATTTTTTAATATTTTTTTTATGGGGATTCATTTAATGAACCCAGGATGATGCCCGACTAACTGCATTTTTGGTGCTTGTTTCTAACTTAAAAAAAAAACGCGCCACCCTGAAGCTAGAAAAATATAACAACAAAATGACACAATTAAAAAAAATATATATGGCCGAATTTTCTGTCTATCGTCCTGAAGGTAATTGCTGTGTGCGAGGGCGCCCAAACGAGTTTAGCGACCTTTCCTTCGTACGTGGGACGCTTCCCTGCACCAACTGGAATGTAGCGGAAAAGCCAACTTTCCGGAAGAAAAGATGCTCGATGCAACAACGGCGTTAAAAAACAAAACAAAAAAAAACACTTTTGTTAATTTTACGGTTCGTGAAAAAATGCCCAAGGACATTTATAGCTAGTTATCTGCATTCATGCTGAATGCACCACATACTTTGTATGTGTTTGAGAGGGACCAGGTTGTCAACTGTCTGTCATCGAAACTTGGCGTATGCATCATGTCTCGCAGACTATTTCTCCAAACAATACGAACTTGTAGCGGACCGTTAGCGTGTTCCGCGTACCGCACCACCGTACCCGAGGCGCGCGCTTAAAATCTTCAGTCTCCGGTAGTGTGGTACGCGGAACACGCTAACGGTCTGCTAAAAGTTCCTAATGATTCAATAGAGTACCGTACGGCTATTAGAAATACCGGTGATTTAGCTTAGACAGTTCTAAAGGACGGAAACTGTTTTAGAAACGCGTAAGAAGCCACGCTTTTTGATAAGCGCAAAGCTTAACACGGAGCACCTAAGCCTAACGTGGCGGTTGCGTAGCAGGTTGTAGCAGGCGACACGGTGTTTGTTCGAAAGGTTCGTAAACTACTTGGTTCGCAAGAAGATTAGGTAAAAAAAAAAAGCGTTTGATAGAAAATATGTAATTACAACACAATATAGTTTGTGATTGAGCTCGTCAGGTTTTTGGCGCCACATTTTTGGTGGCTCAACAAAATGACGCTCAACCTCACTTCCCTTAACAACAAGAAGGCGTTTATTCCTTCCCTCAGTTTTACGCCACATAACCACGTAAAGTTGTTCAAAAATTAACATAATATATTCTATGGAATTGTTACAGCATGGGCCCTAAACTCGTCGAACACAAAGTTGGAGCCGAAAGTTCGCAGAGCGCGCTGATTGGACGTTGGCGAAAAAAGCGCGAAGTCATCGTCGTGATAGACCAATCGGTGCGCTCCGTCAACTTCGGCCCTAACTTTGTGTTTGACGAGTTTAGGGGCCCATGTTGTCAATCTGACAGTTTCATAGAATATGTCATGTTAATTTTCAAACACCCGTTGTAGACAGCTGAAAAAACGTAGGGTGTGGCGATCTTTAAGCATCTTATTATAGCTCCGCAGCCAACTAAATTGGGGCATCAGCTGAAAAAAAAAAAAAAAAAAAAAAAAAACGACGAAGGATGATTTATGATAAAAAAAAAAAAAACACGTGTCCACACTAATCCAAAGCACCACCCCTCTTGCGCCATTCTCTAATAAAGCCGCGGTCAGACTGCTAACACTGCATCATGCAAAAGAGTCAGTCTGCCGACGTCTTGAAAGGATACATGCGCATGATGCAAACATGCTTCGAATATAGGTGGCGTGAGGCGTGTCCGCAGGTAATTCTGTCATCCTATCCGCAGAGAAACTCGGGTGTGTTTCGTATAATCTATGAGCGCGTGACAGAGGCTTAAAGGCATTTTTTGAATCGCCCCTAAAACAGGGGCGTAACACGGTGTGCGCAACTTCAGGTATTCGCCGCAGTGCTCGGCTACGGTCGAACTGTGCAATCTATAGATTGCTTATGCCCAGTTCATGTTAATGCTCAGACCCATTATAAAGACCGAGGAAGCAAATATCTTTCTCTACACTCTAAGGAATGCCTGTGCGTGTACTTACCCTCAACACACCCAAAGCGCCAATCTCTGCGATCTACGAAATCAGCTCAGCGAATTATGAGGCAGAACATCCGTTTAGACCTCAAAATGAAGTCTGCGCTGTGGCATTACGCATTCCAAAGCGTCATGCTTGCATTGCGTAATGCCCCAGCGCAGACTTAATTTTGAGGTCTAAACGGATGTTCCGCCTCATCATTCGCTGAGCTGATTTCGTAGATCGCAGAGATTGGTTCTTTGAGTGTTTCGAAGGTAAGTAGACGCGCAGGAATTTCTTAAAGTGTAAGTTCTTCACCGCGCTCGAGCTGCGTAAAATTCCCGAGTTCATACGCGGCGCATGTGTGAATCGAAACTCAACTAACGCTAATCTGTTGTCTAAGCGCACTTTACCAAAGAACTCCGTTGAACGTTCGACGAGCCTATAGTGGCCCATCAGGAGCGTCCCGCCGTCGGCAAAACGTCGCGGCGAATCAGCAACGAAACGGGTTCTCTCTTTTTTTTTTATATGTTTTAATATTTGTTTGGTGAAGATTCATGCCTCGATATTTCAACACGTGCGCGAACAAAGAGCCCGCCTCTGCGGCACACAAAGCAGCGATAGATTTCGCAAAACCGATTAATGCGGTCAGTTGAAAGGGCCGTCGATTCCGCGAGCCTACCCTAGTGCGCATACCGTCGAGGCGTGCCCGGATATGCGCGGAACACCGGCGTCATTATTCAACGGTTTTGGAGCGCTGACCGATGAGGCAATTAATTACCCATGCACAAACCGTCGTTGAGAGCGTGACCCGCGCTGCAGTAGAGCGGAAACTATGAACCCGCGCGCTTTCATCGGCTGGAGGGGGGAGACTTGCAGGATTTGCTTAGTCATCGCGTATGCAAACCGACATGTTTCTAAAGAGAATTTAATGTCTGAAATCACCACAGAAAGGAATATATATATATATATATAATATTCCTGGCTGGTGTTGTCGTACTTAAATGTAAAGCGTCAAGTATATATGTGTAACCATTGAAGCAAAAAAAAAAAAAAAAGGAACTTGATGATTTTACTTATGGCATGGTGATTAATGAGGAGCTATAAAATGGCTACCGCTCCTCCTCATTCCTAAAAGTATATCATGGACAAGTATAAGCAGCTCTTAAGATTAAAAAAAAAAAAAGAATGGTATCTTCACAGTTTATCAGTCCTCGTGCAGTCATTTTATGATAGAAAAAAAAATTACTATCACAGACTTATGTTCCCTAGAAGTTTTGAGCACACACACAAAAAAAAGGGCTGTCATTGTTGCTTGTCAAGAGCGTTTTGGGCTTGGCCCAGAAAGAAAGTAAGCAAGAAAGAGAAAGAAATAACGAAAGATCATGTCTAGATAGTTGCTATTGGAAACCGGAGGCCATTTTGAACATCTGGTAACTGACACATAGTCACCCTATTTTTGTAGACTTTCGCTTGCCTTCCCGTGTTAGTATATCCATCCCCCAAAAGTGACACAATAAATAGGACAACCACATGAAAAAAGCAAAAACAAACAAACAAACGCTTAATGATATTTTTTATGGTAGCAAAGACGTAACCAGGAATTCCCTTTTTTTTTCTCGGGGGGGGGGGGGGGGGGGGGGGGGGGGTTAGGGGGGGGGGTGTTTAAAGTGCATGTTTATAATAATAAATATTATTATTATTATTATTTATTTTCTGTGCTTACAAACAACTTTTCAATCTTCACAGTGGTGCACGTAATATAGTAAGAGGAGCAAAATATTGCTGAAACACCACACCGCACAAATCGTCTTGCCATATTTAGACGATAGACATCCATTCGCGAACAAAGAAGGTGAAATCACTAAGGCACATAAAAAAAGAAATCCAGATGCTGTTTTTTTATTGAAGGACAACTGAA